TAGACTGCAAGATCCATCCGAGGCATCATACAATAGACAAATGGGAAGCAAAATCAACAGGATGTTTAGGTTAAACCATTTTATTGAAATAAGCATATAATTAGCATTTCAAATTTCAGTTTCATTTTGACCATTTCAATGAAAAATAACAAGTAAAAAACTTACTTTTGAATACCGTCCTAATGTAAAAAAACACAGTGGGTAATTGGAATATACCTTTGTGTCAAGTGTATATAATGGGTTTAAATTTTAAAAAAATGATAAACAGTGTGGCTGTTATACAAATGTTTTGAATTCAATGTAGTAAATATTGAAATCTGAATAAGATTGGAAACATGGCCATGCCTTCATAGTATGTTTTCAAGGGCTTCATTCAGTAAAAGAGTTCAAGTACAGTAAGCATAATTTTTCACAAATAATTAGCCAACTTGCATGAGAGCACAAAGTAGATATGAATGCTAACCTTAAAAGCAAAACAATGTTCCCATGCAACTACTAAAACAGCATTGTTTTTTGAAGCAAAGTACCACTATTTTTAAAAATCAATTTCTCTTCAACCTTTAAAGTGCAGATATAGTCATTACACAGGAGGGCCAGTCATGTTGTGGGACACACCAATATGGATTAGCGTTAGCAGATTATCACCACATCATGAACTGTAATGTCATCGAGTGATTATATCAGTTCCAAGTAAGCTACAAAAGTGTTTTTATTGGTTAAACTCCCACCCCCTCATGAACATCCTGTAGACGCCACAACACTCTGCCTCTAATCTTTTTCAAAAGCATTATATGAAAGAACACATGCCTCTGATCTCTTTAGATGTGCCTGCTTCTCTCTGCAGGCTACTGCGTGTTGCAAACTTTAGTTGTGCAGTCTGATGATTGGTTGACTAGTTGCAGGCACATCTAAAAGGATGCCAACATGTATTCTTGCACATAAAGCTCAGGAACAAAATGATTGATGACAAAAAGACTAAAAGCTGTAAGAGGTAGGCCAAGGGGAAGAAATTATTGATGAATGAAGGAGGTGGTCCAGACAGGAAATGAAGGTGGGCTCAAGGGTCATATTGTATTTCCAGGATATTGAAAGTAATCTGTTTCAACACAGGAGAGGACTTGCTTCAAGTGTGGGAAAAAATAGGTAAGTGGGGCTGAATGAACAAAATCAGTTTATTCCTGGATATCGTGGATGGAGGAAAAATCTAATAAACGAGAAGCTAGCCGAAGGATCGGCCGAAGCTACGGCCAGATCCTTCGGCAGCTTCGTGAATAGACCCCTTAGTCTCTGAATACCAGTGCCTTGTCAGGTATAGTATTCAAACAGTTTCTACCCACAGCTGTCTGAATTCCTGAACAGTGACATCTGATAGGATGCAGTTGCTGTTTGGCCAACAATATTCCACCCGGCTCTATCAATTTTTAAATTGAAGTTTGTTGAGCCATGCCTGGCAACATGCTGGTCTGTGTTGTGAACAATAAACTTGCTATTGTATACAATGCAGTAAGGCCAATGACCCCCTCCCATCTAACCAGTGTTAAATCAAAAAAATGCATGCCTGATGGAAACTGATAAGTAAGGTTTCCGGCATAGGTAGAAACAAAAAATGTTTTAATAAACTTAGTATCACAATAACAGTAAAATGAACTGGCATTTTTTTTTACTCTTGACTGAACTTGTCTTTTTAAAGCTTGTAATTAAATATAGATAAAGGCAGCCATATTTGCTCATTACATATCTAGACTCTGCTTTTTTTTTTTTTTTGTTGGCTATACCTCACTGTTCCTCTATTATAAGGCAAGTCTTTGTCTAGGAAAAACAGTTGTTCAGAAGAAGGGTCAAGGTGGCCAGGGACTTGATATGATATATGCCTGATCTAGCCAAAGACAGCACGAATGGGAAATGTCCTCTATATCTTAGACGTACCCGTTGACCCTACTATGTGAGACTTCTTGCGGAGAAAGCAATCAGACTTGTAACATTATCTAATTGGCACAGTTTCTCCCGAAGATAAGTCTATACAGGGGCAATAATCCTTCCCTGCTGTCATCAATGACCATAAACCGGCCGTGAACATCCATTGTTCGCTCTCAAGAATGATGGACTTGGAACATCTGTTCTAGTCTTAAGGTGACGAAAGACTTACCAAATGTTTCCCAGTACAGCTAAAATAGCCATTATGTAAGAGTTTCCCAATCTGGCTAATGGCTAACAGTACCTTAAAGAATATGCACAAACCTGATTTACAGTATATACACACCTAAAAAAAAAAGAAAAAATTTGACTAGTATTTTATTGGTCACATACATGTTAATAGAAGAGTTGTAGGTAAGTAATACAAACGTGCAAATGAATAAATGTTCCCTATAAAACTAATGTATATGACTAATGGATATGGTTTTATGTTAGACTTTAAACACACAGTTTAATGTAGATGGAGGAATCTGTTGCACTTTTTCCATTATAACCGTGTGAATTGCGGAAACTTTAGTAGCTTTAGTATCTTGCTAGTCCGCCCTTCTGGCTCACAAAATACCTGAACAATCTGATTGGATGCAGGCATTGTTCAGGTATTTTGAGAGCCAGTGGGGCCCACTAGCAAGTTACTGAAGCTTGGCCCAGCGGGAGATCCCTCCACCCACACAGTTTAGCATAGATGGAGGAATCTGTTGCACTTTTCCCATCTAACCATAGAAAATCTGCAGTTAAATCTATAGGTGTATGGCCAACGTTAGTCTAAGCAGCTTTAGCTCCTACATACAAAGCATTTTTCAAGGGCTTGAAGCCCGTAAAGAACCCTTCAACATGCTTTTGTCAGACTCCAGCAAGAGATAGCTAGTTAAAAGCTTGCTATAGCCTGACAAAGCCTGTACAATCTATATTCTACACACCCAGGCCAGAACTGAAAGGTGCTTTAAAGGCTTACAAAAAGTTGAAAGTTAAAAAATGCTTAGTAAATGCTTGCTGACGCTAATGTGACAAACTAGTATTTTCAAGCAAAGATCTAACAATGTCATCTGTGTTAAGGGCATCATAAGTGACCAATAGGGTTAGTAGTTAACAGAATTTAAGTACATCTTTTGATGAAAAATGACTAATCTGATTTGATTATTATAACAAAAAAATGAGATGCTAGGATGATTAGACATTCTCACAGCTGATTTACTGGTAGTAATATCTACGCTATAACTTGGAGTTCTGCTAATATTATGGAAAATTAAATAAGTACTGCTTGCCTTTTGGGAAAAATGCACATAAAAAGTTATAATCTCTTACCACTGGAAATGTAATCATTTAAAAAAAGTTGAAGGTTACCGTAACTCCAGGGAAAGATTTAGGTATACTAACAGTCAGTAAACTGAATAACACTATAATAAGCAAGAGAGTAAGTCTAATTTCCATTAAATCTTTGTCAGAACACATCTACAATACCCTGGACATATAAGAAACTGCAGAAAAACTACAAAACGGTTGTTCTTATGCTCAGTGTAGCATTGTAGCTGCTTTTATGAAGAAAACATTTTCAGGATATTTTTTTCTGCCTCGAACAGAACACAGTAAATTAATTGATTTTCGGTAAGGTACACTTGATTTTTGCAAGCAGAAGAGGTCACGGTACATCCTCGCTTGTTGGGTATGTTATTCAGAAAGTATATATTTTAATCTTCATGACTTATTCAAAACTAAATACATTTTTGGACATTTTGTTTGCATAACGTGGTGTGCGTGTGTGTATATAACAAAGGCACATTTAAAGTTATGATCTACATAAAATTCAAACTTGTTAACACAACATGAAAAATAATAGGATTTATTTACCCATTACAACATTTTGTTCTTGAAGTCTATTGAGAAACACAGGAATGTAGTAATTCTTGGACATATGTGATATCGAAAAGCAATCATGCATGCACTAATTTTTGCATCACACTACACTGGAATGCAGGGCATTGCGGTACAATGCGTTCCAGTGTGGGTGATCATACTGAGGGTGGGAGGTGTATCTGCGGTGCCATTGAAATGAATGAATACCTGTTAAGCACATGACCAACGAGAAGCCTTTTCTTAAAGGTCAAGCGAATGAGACAATGTTTGAATTTAGCATGAATCTATAGTGCCCTACGCACATAGACAGACGTTACTGCTATGCGAGAAAAGCTTCAGACAACTGATTAACAAGTTGCAAGATCGGAGGGCCAGCAGCAGACGGAGAATTGTTTGAGTTCATTCAAACTGAGGTTTAAATAGGGAGTGCAGTTGTTTATCAGTGAAGTTCCTAAAAGTAAAGGCAGTTTCTACTAGTGTGATAAGATGTCCTTTAAGGTGAAGAACTGGAAAGTCCACTAAGGGTAAGGACCATTTGTCCCTACCCTTAGTGGAGAAATTCCCTATCAAAGGCAAATATCTGTGCACATTACCCAGATGAAGCCATTATTGTAATTGACGTTCCCAGTCCTCAAAGAGGAACTGTTACAGAACAGAGGATATAGGGAAGGTTTTTGTGCTGGCAATAGATTAAAAAGCATGTTACCTGGTACAGCAAGTTGATCCTCAAGATGCATAGCAGAGCACACTAAATCAATTAGTATTTACATCAGGGTCTTGATCAAATACAGTCTCTGTAGAAGCAGGCTGTAAAGGCTCTGAATCAGAGACAGAGATGGTAATAGGGCTTACAAGATCTCGGAGAGATAAGGGCCCAGAAGGTTCAGAGCAAGCACTTTTTTAAACTTCTGCAAGCAGAGTTTTTCATTAATTCCACACAGGCAGATACACAGTCAGAAATGGAAATAGGAATCGTGCTAGACATTATCAGTTTTCAGGCTCAGTCTGACGAGCTATAGAAGTTGCAGCTGAGGGTGATCCTATAGAAAAAGGTGTCCCAGGATCCGCAATACAGGCATCAGATGCATCCCGCATACCTTCTATATTGTGCTAGGTGAGGGGGCGCCTCAGCCTCCCCCTAATGCAGTACGGTCAGTTCTCATGCTGGGCAGCCATTCAAAATATACTGCCCAACACCAAGTGTCAGCTTGAGGTGGGGTGGGCTGGAGGTATGGCTGCGAGGTAGCTCCAACCATACATACATTGCTTTGAGTTCCCTCACATGCCCTGTAGAGCTGTCTGGACCGTAGTGACTCACATTTCGGCTCCCGGCACCTGTACAGGGCAAACACGGGAGCTGTACAAGCAATACACATATGAATGGAGCTCCGTCACAGCACAGCAGCCCACACTGGACCCCAGGCTGAGAACCCACTCAAGTTCTCGTAAGGTAGGTAGACTGGGTACATCTTGAGGTTACACAGGTTGTGAACCACTGTTTTAAAAGACATGTTGTACTGGTTAGTGTTAAGCAAATCACCAAAATTGAGGCAAGACCACACATACTTAGAAACCCAGGCAGCAGTAGCTGGTGAGGATCGTAGACCACTGGAGGTGACCAGGAGACTTAAGGGAGTCAGCGGGAAAAAACCCCCAGTGATTGGATTATCTACAATTTGCTTGAAACAGATGTAGCAGCAGGAAATGCTTCCTTCTGTGCTTCTGGGCAGGAAAGGAATAAGGAGTGTGCATGTGCAACAATGTCTTTAGCGGAGGACATCAGCACTAAATTCCCTCAGTCTGAACCATTATCTCAGTAAAAAAAGACATTTAAAAAAAATCAGGTGCCAGTTGATTTGATGCAGTTCCCAATGCTGCAGCCTGCCGGCCTTATCATTAATTGTATTGAGAGAGGCTGGGCCACACCCATAGGTTGTGCCACAACTCAAACTCTAAACACTAAAACAGTGTACAGACAACTGGAAAGTGAGATAGGGGAGAATTCCGTGTGTAAGGGTTACTTATCAAGATATGGTAACCGAAAACAGAGACTTACTGGAGAGATTGGGTCACACCAAAAGTTGTGCCATTGTTCTGAAACTGGAGAGCAGTCTGCGGCTAACTGACACAGCACACTAGAGTCTGGAAAGTGCCACAATATAGAGCCCAGTACCCAAAGGACACATAACAGCCAATGGACTGTAAGATAATAGGCAGAGTATTCTGAGGTTCGCTCATAAGGCAAGTGTTAAACAGCTGATTACCAGAAGTTGAGTGAACACTCTGGATCCGGGGAGCGTCCTGCGGGGAACTTACTTATTACACAATGTGTGAAAAGCACCATAATGCAGAGCACAGTGTCCAAATCAGTGGCGGACCTAAGGAACAAAGGGCCCTGGTGGCAGATTTTTTTTGCCCCCCCCCCCCAAAAAAACAACAAACACAGCGCTCTCCTCCCGCAGCGCTCGGCCGGTTCTCACTTTCTATCCTCCCCGCTGGGACACAGAGCAGCGCCCAGCGGGGAGGAAAGAAAGCAGGGATGCGTTGCTGTATCGGCATAAAAATGGCATTATTGCTCTCACTGCGACGTTCGAGGCGATATGTAACATGTTCAGCACAATTGTCATTTTTCGCATGTAGGCGCTACGGGTGGGGGACTTAAACATTTTTTTTCCCATTTTTAATTTTTTTTTATGTTACATTCATTTTTAAACACTTATTTTTGTACACTAACCCTATTGGCATTACATAGGGGACTAACAAGCACCCTGTGTAATAGCAGATAGGGTGTGACAGGTCCTCTTTCTGGAGGCATCAGGGGTCTTTTAGACCCCTAATGTCACCTAGAGACCCCAAACAAGCTAAGAAGCCGAGATCTGCTTTCCCAGCTTCTTGTCCTGGCTCTGAGAGCTGGAGACTGTGTACAGTGACACCGGAAGTGATGTAATACACAGCACGTCCGCATCCAGTGATCGGAGGAGAGATCAGCGGCTGGAAGCGGCTGAACCTCTCTCTGATCATTGCGGGGAGACCCACCGACCCAGTGGCCGTTGCGGGGGTACCACACGGAACAAACGATCCGGCGGCTGTTCAGACATCAGATCGATTGTAAGTTACACAGCAATCGCCTGCTGTTAAAAGCAGTACCAAGAGCATGGCTGCCGGAGCAGCCGTGTTCTTGTTTTACCCACTTCTGCAGGCCGCCGTCTGTAGACATACTGCGGCTCGGAAGTGGTTAAAGTGACATTAAAGTAAATGTTTTACCCCTCCCCCCAATGTAAATGCCAGCACTTACCTTAACTGATGCCTCTTATCCGATCTTCTTCTTACCTGATGTTTTCATCTGTCCCTCCAGCGGTGCGACGGGTCTCCGATCCAGAGCTGACTCCTCTGTAGTTGCTGGCACTTCCTGTTCCAGGGTGTCTGTACGCGTCCATAGACTTACCTTGTGTCTCTCCTCGTCTCCTGGCCGAAAATCCGAACTGCGCATGCGCCTGCCCCAAAATGCTTTGCGGCCGCCTGAGCTGTTTCGGATTTTCGGATGGGAGCGTGCAGCAAAGACGGGGTAACTTTAAACCGCGTTAAAGCGGGGTTTTTTTTTCTTCAACTATATCTTCTTCAACTATATTTTGCATATATCTACTGCTTGCTACCCTCATATATATGCAAAAAAGCCAGAGAGTTTAATACCCTTTAATACTCACCTGATCCCTGGAACGACCGACAAGCGCAGCGTCCAGACTCTCACGCTGTCATTATATGCATACAGAGCGTGCGGGTTACTATTTAAACCATACAAAACACAAAAATTCCCCAGCCTCAGCCTGCCAGCCAGCCTGCAACCAAACAAGTAGCCTTGTCAACAGTATGTGTTAAAATCAGAGGTTTTAGTTGCACAAACTTTTGGCCAAAAATATCTAGAAGCCACACTGCCGCGCCAAGGCACCTCTGCAAAGTGTGGTCCTAACTCTATCTATCCGAGTCTCCAAGTGTGAGCATATTAATGAAGTTGATAAATTACATGCAGGTGTACCTGGAGGTAGCCAACTCCTCCTGATAAGGTGCAGGGACGCACTGGAGGCCCAGCAACCAAAAATGCACGCTGGGACCCCAGTGCGTCCCCCCTAACCCAAAATAGTAAAACTAGAAAAAATGGTACATGCATGAATCCATAACCGGCCTTTATAGCAGGGCGCACATTGGGAAGGCTTACAACAATACAAAACACAAAAATTCCCCAGCCTCAGCCTGCCAGCCAGCCTGCAACCAAACATGTAGCCCTGTCAACTACTCCAGGTACACCTGCATGTAATTTATCAACTTCATTAATATGCTTAATTAATTAATACGCATACTGTTGACAGGGCTACTTATTTGGTTGCAGGCTGGCTGGCAGGCTGAGGCTGGGGAATTTTTGTGTTTTGTATTGTTGTAAGACTTCCCAATGTGCGCCCTGCTATAAAGGCCGGTTATGGATTCATGCATGTACCATTTTTTCTTGTTTTACTATTTAAACCGGCGCGCTGTGTGCAGCTTCTGAGAAGATACGATATTAGCGTAGCGGGGAAGCATGCTGCACATTTTGCATCGCTCACGCTACGCTAATAGCGTATCTTTTCAGAAGCTGCACAGAGCGCACCGGAATCCAGCGGCCGGCAACTGTGCTGGGCCCCCCCCAAAGGCTGAGGCCCCAGTGCTCCCGCACCGGCCGCACCAGCAGTAGTTCCGCCACTGGTTCAAATGACATATACCATACTTATTGCCAGATTTAGAAGCTTACATACACTGGATGATATTAGAGACAGGGATACACCAAAGGCTGTATCACTGCCCTGAAACTGGCAAGCGCTCTATGACTACCTGGCACAGTATACACAGTTCTGGGACGCACCATAAAAAAAAGAGCCCAGTGATCCAAGGTCACATTCCAGTCTATGCTGCACAGCTCTGGACCTGGAGTACGCCCTGCAACACACTAACACAGTACACTGAGGTCTGGAAAGTGCCACTGGCAGAACCCAGTGAACTAAAGTCACAATCCAAACAGGTCCCTCATCTTTGGGCCAGCAAGGTACAGGTACAGCTTCCAAAGCAGCGCTGAGGATAAGCCAATCCGGATAGCTGTTGTGTAGAGTCCAGCTCAAGTAGCGTAACAAATGTCTTGATTGAAGAGGAAGAAGAAAATATAACAAAAGTACAGAGAATGTTGATGGAAGAGAAAACATAGTAAAATATAGAAGGTAAGGAAAAAAGTATTCAACTTCCTACGACACTAACAAAATATTGAGTCATGATGGTTAGAGGCAGGCTTATATGGGAGCTGGCTTAATGGTTTTTTAATGTGTTTGCCAGTGTCCAAACCTACTGAATGCAGTAGTATAACCGCATATGTCCAAGAACAACTACATTCCTGTGTCACATTTGGCGCTATGATCTCTTTTAATCTTCACATTTAGGTATGTATATACAGTGTATATATATATATATATAATTTATATATACAGACACATACAAAACATTCATGGAAAGTCATGGAAAGTCGATTACAGTAAATTAAAAGGTAGAGGTGATACCCTTTTCAGCCATTATAAAAACCAAAAAAAAAAGACATTTACTGTTTTTTTGGGTTGGTTGCCGATGTGACAATACAGAGGTTACCACTTATGGAAGAGCATCATACAGTATAACAGTTAATAAAAGACAATTTGCATAACTAAGTAACCTATAACTATCTTTTTATGTTAGCCCCTTCAGTAAATTTAGAGGCATGCTGGGACATGCAGTTCTTTAGTCAAGGCTTTATGTTGCTCATGCTTGGTGTATAACACAGATGGAAAAATGTAGACACCTTGTCATTTCCTATATTAGTCACTGCCAGGAGGAGTGCCAGCATTCATCTTTTTTTATAGGCAAGAATCATCTTTTTAATTTAAATTTGGCACATTACACTTTTTGTCAAATTGAGTCACCTATTGAATATTTTCTGTTGTGTAGATTTTGACCAAGCATAGCATATAACGTCTAACATAAATTTAGATTGCCTTTATTCATTTCCTTTGACATTTCTTTTCTTATCCTTTAGCTATACTGTGTTCTCTGTTAGACAAATGCCATTGTCCTTCTAAATAAGAAGCGATGCCACACACAGAACCTCTCTGGAATGATGGTATGCAAGGCAGCCAAAGGCATTGTTTCTTGACATTCAGCTCTATATTTAGCAGTGCTCTCATTTTCTGGCATAATTCATTTTGCATGGTTTTCCACACAAAAAAAAGATGAAAAAGAAAGGCATGTATGCACGGCCATACTATATGGCAAATCAAATCACTTTATTTTCATTAAAAAGTGTACACTACAAGTTTTTTTACCGTAAAATAGTTAAAGCCCAACTCATGTTTCATTTTTTTCAGTCCATGCAATCCTTTTTACCTGATTACATTCGAAGCTTGGAAGTCAATACTTACTTTCTCTGCACCGCTTTGTTCCTCTCCCCTTGTTCTACTTGTATATTAGGCACTGCCTCACTTACTGGCTGAATGATGCCCAGCGCCATTCAGGCTATTCCTGTAAACCCAGGCAGCCATAGATACAAACCAGTGTAGTACATGACTAAAGGCACTTGCTTCATCACGCTGCCTGTGTTCACAGTTGGTGTTCTTGTTAGCAGGTATCAGCATTATGAATGGGAACATCCAGGGTTTTTTGTCCGATTGAAACAACACCACTGGGAACACCCCTACATATGTTTTAACCCTCGAACCAGTCACAATAAAAACATTATGCTTGCTGGAAACTGTAGTTTTTAGATGGAGGTTCACGTTAGAACGTTTTGACACACAAGCACCACTGAAGACCACACAGCCCCTCTTTCAATAGAAGGAGGAAGGGGCAGTGGTCATTACCTGATTGAAATTAGAGTACTAGTTTTACAAAAATAAAACTACCTAAACATGGGGAGGTGTGCAGGGAGGGGAAAGACGTCACCATTCTGGGTTATTATTGATTCTGGAATTGGGCTTTAACCGACTGAGCAGGCAAATCTATCTAAAAATCTAATGCAATTAGATCTAGTGCATCTAGTGCAATAGCTTACCTTGTATTTTATTGTTATACTAATTCTTTCTGTGGGTCTCTAGTCCATGTAAGACAAGTGTATTTTTTTTTATTTTTTTTTACTTACAAAGAAAATCTTTTGCATGTATCATGCAGGAAACCATCAGGAATGGTTTTGTGGCCATACTTGTATTCCGCTGAACAAACCACTGCTCATCATTACTGTGAATACAAGACCTTAAATCCACATAACCTGTCAACTGCCTCAACCACCTTTGTTTTCTTGTTGTAGGAGTTCAAAAACTAGGAAACACTCACTGTAAATTCAAATTAATTCAATGGAAAAATATACTGCAATCAAAAATATATTTAAACACAGGTATATTCAAAAAAGTAACAGACGTTCATATCAACATTTGTAAAAGGTACCCCCTTCCCCAGCTTTTAATAAACAGTGACCAAATCAGTCTGGCATGGAACAATTTTTCAGAAAAACTTTAATAAGAAAATAAATAATAATGTATAATTATAACATTCCTTTTTGATTACATTGCCAAACCAAGATTGTACAAATGGTTATTCATCCTCTCTATAACCAATAAGCCATTTATAAATGTTCTGCAAGGAAAAGGAGGTCCTTGTTGCGCTGATTTTTTAAAACAATAGTCAGAAACCATTAAATATGAAAAAGTATGTGCATTCTGGGGATGTAACATGTGCACCTACATGCATATTTGGAAGAATATAAGCTAACATTTGCAATTGTAAAATGAACAGTTTTACTATTTAACACCTTAGACACAACACATTTGTAGCTGATTGTATTTGTTTCATTTTGTGGTTAGTTTTTTTTGTTTTCTTTTGTTTTGTTTTTTTAACTGCACTGACATATTCTCCTTAACACATAAGAGGTGAACACTAGGTTAAAACACTCTTTGGTATGTTTTGGGGAACATTATATAGAACTGCATATTTTAGGGAAGATTATTTAGTACTGTATATGACTTGCCTGTGGCTTACTTTTAACAGTGTCCAGTGCAAGCCCTTTTTTTTTTTTAATGTTGCATTGTATGAAAATTGGTGAATGGTTTATATTCTTTTTTGTAAAAACCATTTTTATTAAATATGTTGCAATTGTGTATACAACAAATTATATTAAACACAAACTGTACAATGCAGACAAACGCTTTGCATATACTGTATGTATGTCAATTTAGTAATACATACCAACATTTCTTCATACACATAGCTTACTACATGCAGATCATCACCACCCTCTTCCCATGCAACAGATGAGACACCAAACTAAAAGAACTTAAGCAAAGAAAGACACAGACAACAAATATTTCTGTCATATGCGTGAACATAATACAGAAAGAAAAATAATCCCATAAAACAGCCATTCAAAAAAAAAACTCTTACACAAGTTGTAGAAACATAGAATAAACAAAGATTATCTAACACATACATAACATAGTCATCATTTACAAAAATAAATTCAGCCTTAATTTCAACCAGTCAACTGGTTCACGGCCCGGTATGTAGACTGTAGTTATGACAATGGATTGGGACTCTATGCCTGAAGTTGGGACACCAGCCCCATACAGGTTATTATGAAATCTATGTTGTGCAATTTTACTTATACATTGGCTAATTTCTCACTTTGTAGAACATAGTAAAGAATATCTGCTAATGTGCTTCACTGTCATGAGAGGGACAAGCAGTAGTTGTTTGACATAGCAATGATGTAAGTGATAACTACGAGCAGTGAATGTGGTTTAGCAGCAAATGTCTTCTCAACAGTCGAAGCAGCTCACATTTAAATCCTTGTGAATAGATTCCAGAAATAAACTGCTGCAATCCTTCATAAGCAAACATTTTTGATCCCATAAACAGCTGTAAAGCATTGTGGATTAAAAGAAGCAATACATTTTTAGCAGACACTGTGCAAATGCAGAAAAAAAAGCAAAGGTTACCCGTTTCTGCCAACTAAAAGAGCCAACTAAAGGTTATGTTTTTTCCACTTACGATGTCCTGGTGAAAGGTCATTTTGATCTTGTACGCATTACTCAAGGAGGTGTACTTTCTCTATGCTTGTGTACAGAATGACCTCACTGATATCTTGTATACAATTGAAGGACAACATACAGGATTTAGTAACTGGTACATAGGAGGAACCCAATGCCTTTGTGAAAACCTAGTCGAATGACAGACATACAGTAGGCACCTATTGACTTCTGATTAGCTTAAAAGTTCTGGTTCCACAAAGAGTGGATTTGTGTAAAATATGCCACAACCTAAGCAAGGCACCTTTAACATGTAAATTCTGGTTCCTGAAAATATCATGTTAGAATTATGCAGAATTTAGTGTGGAAATTAATACTACTGGACTCTGCATGCTTACCTAAAATATTGTATTTACTTTTCCGGTTTTTATTTAACAAGAAAGTATTAAAACATTAAAACATGGTGTTCAGTTACTACTTGCATTGCTGTTGCAAAAAAAGTGGGACACAGCGAACAACGTGCCCATGCTGAGCAAAAATAAATTTGCAGGAACTGCCGGAGATGAAAATGATCTCAAAATGGAGTCAGCCTTTTTGCAAGCATAAATGCTACTTAAATGACCAATTTACTAACAGCTAGTGGCATTGATCTTTTTTTTTTTTTTTTTTAAATATACTGGAAGAGTCATAAGTAATCTCACTAGTATTTATTAAGCCACAAAATGGCCACCTCCTTCCTGAACTGACAATGGGTGCACTTTAACATAAGCTTATTTTAAAAAAAAAAAGGAGTTTTTCTTTTAATTTTGAGAAATACTGTAGCTAGCAGAACAGTTGCTCTTTATGTTGATAGTTTTAACTATGAGGAATTATAGATGAAAAATGAGCCTTAATTCAGACCTACAAGGCCTACAGAATTCTATGGACCCACCATATTAAAAAGCAAGTGGGTCTTGCTTACTGAGTAAGGCAAATGTCACCATTACCAGTAAGCCTGTGATATGTATAAAACACACACACAAAGGAAAGTATAGGGTGTATCAAACACTAGTCTCAGCCTATTTCTCACTGGGTGTGTTTGACATATATCCCTCTAGTATTTATCGTCAACCTCTGGAGCACATCGTCTGCTGTCACACTTGACCAGTATAAGTCCTGTTCGAATAAACATGTTTAGAGAAAAACGGTTTGAAGGCTTCCTGATTCCCTGATTGCTTTCATAACTAAGCCACCTGAAACATTCAAGTTCTAGAGGAACGCAATCCCTGCAAAAAGGTCACAGACAGTGGTGCAAGCAGCCTTGTAAAAAAAGGTTAGAGAAATCCTTTATAGCGCAGTTTACAGCGTCTAACTATAAATTACTTAATAAATGTGTGCTACAAAATAGAACTTAAACACATGGATTTCGCTGTAATTGGACTCAAAAGGGGGGAAAGGGTCATTGTCAGCAGGCAAGGTATCAAGTGTACTTGTGAAGTATGTCATTCACATGAAGTGTCACAGTCACGGATAAGATATTAAAAAGGCATTCCATATCTGGTAGGGCATTCCATGGTCTGAGTTTAGCTGGTTCCCCAGGTGTCTTCTAGTGAAAGGAGGAGATACACACTGAGTTTTATCCATCTTCAACATGTTGGTTCTGGAACAGCAAAGAGCCAGTGCGTATTTACTTTTTTTTGTTTCTTTTTATATTCCTTTTAATACAAACACTGGGGTTTGGATAGTCTGGTGGGGATAAAATTCTAATATGTGTCGAGGGCTCAGTGAGTCACAACACCCTTGAGGGTCTGGCTATGATGTCTTACTCTTAGTGACTGGTTTGCCTCCGTTCATTATTGCAGATGCACTTGTGCTTTTACTCGGTGTCACACGGGCCTTTGGCACTGTCTCTCCAACATCATGCAATGACGGCTCTCTGTACATGGCAACTGAAAAGAAAAACATAATATGTATTAATAAAGTTCAAAGAAAAAATAATTGCTTATTTAAAGTGTGCTATAGAAAAAACATTTCTATGAATAAGGGCAGCCATATTTGCACTTTATATACAGACCCTGTGCTTTCTACTGACTAGTGCTGCACAGTGGTGATTTACTGATTACCGAATTCACTGCAAGACCCTTTAGAAGTACAATGATTCACACAATATAAAACAAATTCTAGATGACTTATCCTGTAATTGATTTTTATCATAGCAGTCTATCAATTGGTAATGCTGATTGCAAGCTCAGAAACACAGATAGCCAAAAGAGGGTAAACTGACAAATCTGTATATGAAAATACCATCACCAAAAATATAAGACAGCCAGCAGGTAAAAATATAAATGGTATAGCAAATATTGCTTAAATTCAAATGTGTATTGGCTAAAGATACACCATTATTTGTAAAAAATCAAATGAGTACTAGCTGAAGATACACAATACTTCATAAATATGCATATACACTTAACAAGAAATAAAACAAATAATTGACCTTTGGTAAACTGTTTTTTGCATACAAGTTAACTATATTTACTGTACATCTTGTTCTCCTATACGGTAATTTTCCAAGCTCTTGAAGTATCAATTGGCCTGTAGATAAATGTACACAGCTAGGACTAGGTGTCTCCCTTAAAGCCCAACTCTGGGCATTCTATTAAAAACAATAGTCTTCCAGTAGGCGTTTAAAAGAAAAAAGAGAATCCTTGGCTGGAATACGCACCTCCTCTATACTCAGGGGCGTATCTGCCGCGAGGCAAACAAGGCATTTGCCTGGAGCGGCAGATTCCCTGAGAGTGGCACTTGCTGTGGTTCTCTCCCCTTGATAAATTTTATTTATATTGCTGTTTTGCCTAGGGCAGCAGCATTTGTAAATACACCGCTGACTATACTAATTCCTTCCAGAAGACTAATGGCATCCTGTGAGTACAGGATGTTAGGGATCACCCCTTGAGGTGGTTTAACCATAGCGACCTGCACATAAAATGATGCAGTGAACGGCACTGATGTCAGTCACAGGTCTCTGCATCATTGAGGATCATCCACCGCGAAAGGTAAGAACAGTTTTAAAACATTCCCTGACAATATGAGCATTTTGTTCTTCATCAAATCTTTTCATTTCATTCTTGCAGGACATAGTCTTTCAAAGTTTGTGCTGCTAAAACCAGACAAGCTATTAAAATTGATTTACAAATTTGATTTCTCCGCCTGGCCATAGAAAAGTATTGTACTATGTTTAGCCATTGATTAGGGATACCCTTTATTGGATAGCCTAAGTTATAAAAGATGCAAGCTTTCTTCCATATTTGTCTGGCTATAAATATTACATTTCTTTAAAAGGTAGAGTAAACAACTTTTCATAAAATAATGATACTATGTTATTACACAAAAGTTTTCATATAAAACAAGAAAATGGCTTGAGAAACACAAAAATCCTGGTCTTTTTTTATAGAAAATAACTGTTTAGAGGTCTGTGAAATATTGAATGCAATTTTTAGGTCTTGATTTGCATTATACCGAAAACTAAACAGGATTTCCTACGGGCCGTGAAAAATCTTATTAACAGATACTGTAATCTAATAATCGAAATAACATTTTCTGATTAAGCTCTAGAATATAGATAATATTAGGAGATACCATAGAGCTTTATCACTACTGAATTCACAAAATGCAATTACTTTTCATAATAGAGTGCTGCCCAAAATGTGTTGCAATAATTATAAAAAGAAATAAAATAAAATCTAAAAATGACTACATGATACAATTTTGTTTCCAGAATCTCACATTTGCAGATTCTAGATTTTACCACCAGGTGCCATTTAGTGTGTGTGCAGCCCTTTGAAGTACAAATATACCTTTGTACTACAAATGCTGTATTTGTAGTACAAAGTATCTATTATACCCAAACACAGACTTCAAGTGCAGTACAGACCTTCTCCACAATTCACTTTACTGTGCTGGTCAATGTAAAGTGTATTTGTTTCCCCCTGTGTGCCTGTGCTGATGAGCGAAGGTGTAAAAACAGGTTATGTAGAGATGAAGAGGGCAGCCCAACTTAGTGCTATATGTGGCTTTCAGTGCATGACCCTAAAGGCTGCCTGCATGGTATAAGCTGATATAGGCAATACGTCATATTGGCTGATATCCAACTGGCAACTGGATGGTCAATGCTGTGAGCAGTTTCAACGAGGTGGGTGGTGCAGGACATAGAGGTACACTGTAGACTTGGCAACCACCCGCCTATGGTGCCCTCCACCTAAAAGCAATGCTGGCATGATGATGTCAGGGTTGCCTGTGGAGAGAAATTTTATAAGAATTAAACAGCACTGGAATTCAGGAGAACAGCTCTGAAACACTGCAAGGTGAGAAATAGTCTTAATACAGTAAGTATTGATTTTTCCAGAGTCCAGCTTTAATCTTCGCTTCATTTGAACCCTAAAGCTGAATTGGATCTTTCTAATTAATCCCTTGTGCTGTAACAGTCCAATGGTCTTGCTGCTGGTGACAACCTGGCAGCAACTGAAATTCTGCAGCATGGTGAACCAGCAGGAGTATGATTCCATTAGAGGCAGTGGAAACCCTAGACTGCTGCTGGAGATGGGTCACCAGCAGCAAAATTGCATGTTGCAATTTGTATATCTCTTGAAAGCTTTAATAAAATATTTGGAACAAAAAATCATCCTGAACAATTAAAAGTGGAAGTAAAGCTTTCCACCAGAAAACTGCTGATTGGTAGGCTTTTTTTATGGCAGAAGAGATTGTGTTAGTCTATTTTGCCATAAAAGCTTCTACCAGTCAGCATTTTTTTTCTATACCCAGCATGCTGAGATGAAGTAACTCCCATGCATATGCGCAGGAGTTACATCATGCCGGCTGGCCAATCTAGAGGTCAAAGATGTCAAACCCAGAAGAAGACTTGTGAAAAGATGGAAGAGCCGACGAGGGAGGAACGCAACGCTGGGGACATCGCTTTGGCAGGCAAGTCTGCCATAATGTGCTAGTATGCTGTGCATACTAGCACATAATTGCTAAAAACTTCAGAAGGGCTTTTAAAAAAAAACTTGTCTTTACTTCTGCTTTAACCTCCCCTCAACACTAAAATGAAACCCTTAACCTAACTCTGAAACTTGACCTTTAATCTAACACTCAGACTTAGTCCTTACACTAATCCTAACCCTTTTATGTTATAGCAGATACATCAGGACAATTAAAAGTGCATTATTTTCTAATAAAAGATGGATTAATTATGTTCATCCCTCCCTGTCCCCGGACAGTTTATCGTCCCTCTACGCCCTGAGTCTTTCATCTACTCGGGTTCTGAGGACCCAATCGCCATCCTCTTTTCTCTTGGATCTTTAGCTCTCCTTTCCTTTATTGTTTTATTCTGCTTTCTGCTTCTACTCTTTCCTGCGCTGTATTTAAGACCTTAACCTTCTCGATCTCCATTTGGATTTCCTATGCAATTTTATCGCTGTTGACCACTTTTAATTGTATACTGCATTTTTTCTATTGCATGTTGCAATTTGTATATCTCTTGAAAGCGTTAATAAAATATTTGAAACAAAAAAAAGGCCATTGTTTGACTTTATAATGCCATACTGGATGGGGGGGGGGGGGGGTGTTTTAACAAAAAAAGAGACACGT